TTTACTCTTATTATTAATCAAGATTTATATTCCACTAATATGGATAACTATGATAAGATTTATTAGATTATAGTGTAATTAAAACAAAACGCTCATTTGTTTATGTATTTGTTGAGATTAGAAATTTTCTCGTGATTATTGTTTCAATTTCGTTTTTTCCTGAACGAGTTTTTTAGACCTACGTAAATGAGTAAAGAGAAGTAAAATTGATTGTTCATCCATCAAACACATGCCTACCAACAACATATCCACTAAAATCTCATAAAATAGAGATGAGGTCGAGAACAGTTAGGATATACGTAGATCTTGTCCTTACTAGAAAAGTTATTTTCGAAGGATAGAAAGTAAAATAACGACAAAAAGATAGCAAGATAAACAAAGGAATCGAAGTAATAGATAGTAGTAAAAAAAAATGAATAAGATACTATCGAGGCAAGACTACTAAATAAAGAGAAAGATGAGAAGAGGAGACTATTATATATACCTGTTGAACATATATATATTGGCAACTGAAGAACATACTTATACATTATCAAATCTTGGCAACTCAGAAATACATATACAAATACAAATACCATATTGAAACTCGACTAACGAGTGAGTATTATTGAACCAGTCTGAAACATAGACGAGTGAAAAAAGAAGACAAGTACATAATCAGACTATAAAGAGCAACAGTTTGCAACAGAGATGCTTATAGTAACTATGCTTATTCCTTTCGCATCAACCTTGACACCATATGCTCAGTTTTCTGCCAAAAGAAGAAAAGGCATTAGCAAATTGGTATCACTCACTGTGCTATAGAACAAAGCTATGGAATTCAAGCAAAAGAGCCGATGTGACTGTTTTAAGCAGTGACTTGTGCATACAAAATCTATTCATATGATCCCAAAGCCACACATTATAAATCCCATCGTTAAAGATAGCAGAAAACGGTTTATTTCTGGTTCTGTTGGGAAATATATCCCAACAGATGCACAGAAACAACCATCTAGCCCACATACAAACCAAGGACATGTGTCCTAGCTCAAGAACTCGGAAGTTCAGATCTTGTCTTATTTTCCTGATCAGTTCAACTTTAGATAAAAATCAGAGTTCACAGACATGGTTATAGACGTAGTAAGAGTTGATTCTATAAGCACACATGCATTAACACACCTTAATTATAAACTTACAAGGCCCCACACAGTTGCTTAAACAGATTATCCCTTCAGTCTTGCAATATTTTACACCACACACCTTGCTTTTGTATGAAAGTTGAGTTCAAGCACGAAGATTTTAACTGTTATTTTGCAAGATAAGTTGATAGGAAATTTAATTTGGCTTTGTCACATTTGATTGATGATATCTGATTTACGTAAACATATATGATATCGTGTAAGTACCATCTATGAAATGCTAAAACTAGGAAAAAAGATGTGAATGGAAGCATTATTTACTGATTGTTGGAGCAACGAGCTCTCTGATTACTTAACTAAAATACAAATACAAGACGCTCAGAGTTGAAATCATGCACCAGTTTGCTTGGCTCACACAGGATGTGCACAAGGGTACGGAAGCCTTTAATATCAGACCTTACAAATAAAAAATCAGAATCCTCTATTTTGTTGCACCTAGCGGGTGGGGAGTGTGTGTGGAGAAGGAAGGACGATTGTGACGAAGACCTAGCGGTCAGTCATCTTTATGGACAATAATTTGGAGAACAAACTTTACAATTATGAAATGTAAAAAAGGAAACTAACCTGTTCAGTGTGTGGCAGATACTTTCCATCAAAAGTCAAGACAACACGATCCTTTCCATCCACACCTTTGATTTTATCAACTGAGCAGAAAAAGTCTATAGCTGACATGCTAAACATTGAGTCGAAAGTTAAATCTGACATATCATCCCAGTACAAGTATATCATGTGCAGGAAGCAAGTGAAAAACAACTAACAGTAACATAAACTTGCATTAAACACTCGCATATAAACTTGCATGGCTCATAACATCCTCTGCTGTTTTTCTTTCTTTTTTTTTTTTATAAAAGAAATATGTGAAGACCCCTCTGCTCTTTTTTTTTTAAATAGATCCGAAGGTGGTGGTGCCAGCCAATTATAATCTGTACAATGTACAGAACATGTGTGCAGCCGCGACAAAATAGTTCATGCTAGTTGTATAAACAATCTAATATGCAGAGAGGTTGTGTGATTCACCAGACAAGAGAAAGTCACTATATAGAATCACAGGATTATAATAGGATAATGGATGAGACTACACTAAGTCACTAAGTGCATCGGGTTGATAATTAACAAAGACATAGTGGACGAGCCGGAAACACTTGACTATCACTTACCTTTGAAATTGTAGTTAGAATTTTTTTTTCCTACTATTTATCTATTAAAAAAATCGGAATGAGATGGGATTAGAGAGCTTGGGTTTGCGAACGAGAAAGCATAGACAGACGAGTGAGTGCTAGAGGGCAGGTAATATGGCTTAATCCTAAGGAATACCAATATCATTCCTAATTCCCTTAGAAAAAAGCACTAAACAAACAACAGATAATGAAGAAGGGGTTATAATCCCCCTGCTATAGATCATTTATACAGTGATCAAACAACACTATAGCATAGCAGCTTGTTGACTCTAAACACACTGTGCATGCTCTAGTTCATCTTCAAAAGACTTCTTATGAATCATGCTTGCACCAAACCCGAGATAAACTTATGCAATTCAGAGTAGTTAACCATCAGAGGCAATTCATTAAGGTTCACAAGATCCAGAACTCCTGAAGTTTAAAGGCAGAGAGCATTTCCAGAGTATGAATCTAAGTTCTAAACACATGCAGAGACCCACATATAAGAGAAGATTATATCTTTCACCACAATATTTTTTGAATCAATAAAATAAGGACAAGTATTTAATATGTATGCTAACTGGAGTGACTTACATGCCATCGCCAAATTCTTCATTAACAATTTCCTTGATACTCTCACCAAAGTGCATGACAGCCTCATTCAATCTGTTGAAGGAACACAATAATCAAATTATGTATGAAATGCAACAACACAAAGTTTTCCGAAAAGCTTTGCCCAATAGATCTGGCTTACAGCTTCACAACTTAAGCGCTACTATATGCTTTTACCTAAATTATCTAAGGATTTCACAGGAACAGTAAAAATGGTAAGCTAGAAGCTCTTCCACATTCTGTTTCTTCTGTGTTTTCTTGTGCCTTAGTATCTACACTAACAACACTTTATGTGATTCTGGTAAAGGCAGATTAGGGTTTAAAGACAGTGGTAACACCAATTAACATATATACTAACTTTGTACATTTTAAGAAAAGATGTATAGCGCGGGCACAAAATTTCGAGTGTACATGCACCAGTGCTTATATTTTCAATCCACTTCTGGCTACTAGACATGACGACATGTAAATGTTATACAACAATGTTTTACTTTCTAACTAGGAGCACAACTTTCCTCCAGTCTCTACATAAGAATTTCCAATTTCCTGAATCCCGCATCTTCCTCTAGTTATATCAACTACTGCACACTATAGCAAGATCAAAGATTTTCAGAAAATGAACAATAAAGACATAATGAAGTGGACCACTTTATAGAATGGTTTGTCGAATCAAGTTAATAGGTATTTCCAATATTTTGAACCCCATTCTAGTTGTATCAACTACCATATACCACAACAAGATCAAAACTTTTCAGCAACAAAAGCAAAAATTCTAGAAAAGGATCAAGTGTTCACCTCTAGAATCAAGATATCAAGAATTTCCAGTTTTTCCAATTGCACATCTTTTTCTAGCTCTATCAACTACTACCATACACCATAAAGATCAAATTTTTATATAAAAAATCAAGAAATGGGTGAAGTGGTCATCTATAAATACTGAGGTCTTGAATCAACTGCTATTCCACTATCCACATCTTCCTCTAGCTCTATCAACTACCAAACACCATAAAGATCAAATCTTTACATAATAAATAAATATATAAACCAAAAAAATAAGTGAAATAGTCACCTATAAAATAGTGAGTCTTGAATCAACTTAATAAAAATCTCCAATTTTTCCGATTCCACTATCCACATCTTGTTGAAGAGTCACACAGTGGATAATAAAGGATGAGTACTTCCCTACCAACTAACTTTTGGGATTGAGTTAGACACAAAGATTCATTTCTTTACATGATATCACAGCACGACTCATACCAATTGTTGTTCACTAAATGTCTAGCCTGGGCGTAACGGGGATGTTGAAGCGTACCACATCCAATAAAAAAAGATGGATAGTCTCCCCTCGTAAGTTAGCTTTTCGGGTTGAGCTAGACCCTAAGATTCATTCTTTTTTCACACCTCTTTCTCTAGCCCTATCGACTACCATACACCATAAAGATCAAATCTTTACATTAAAAAATCAAAAATCAAGAAATGGGTAAAGTGGGTCACCTGTAAACAGTTGGGTCTTGAATCAAGTTGGGGTCATAAGACCTCAAAGGTGCCTCCATCATTTGATGAATTTGTTGATCAGATAAAAGCGGAAGTGCAGCCTTCAGCTTTGGTGCAGTTTCAGGTTTAAGCTGAGCTTGACGTCTTAGCAACTGAGCCACATAGACATTTGTGAGACCAGTTTCTTCAGCTATTTGACTAAACGTCTTGCCAGATTTTTGTTTCACTGACATAAGAGATGCCACCATGTTTGCCTTGTTCTCCATTACTGCTTTTGCTTACTGCAAAGAAGAAGAAGAGTGATTTTGGATATATATATATATATATATATATATAGTAAGAGAAGATGATTGTATTTTTGCTTTTTTAGGGGCCCAATTATCCACTTTGATAAGTCCAATTTGGTTAGAAATTTTGAATGGAAGAAGAAGAAGGGCTGCTAATTTTGAGTTTTGCCTCTTTGACTGCTAATGGGATATTTAGTAGATATTAAAAAATTATAAAAAAGTGAAATAAAATAATTTAGCTATTTAATCATAATAAACTGACATATTTTGATATGTGCATTGAAGAAAATCAGGCATGCCAATGAATAGGTGCGTATAAACTCTATTTCTTGCTTTTTTTTTTACTAAACATGTTGTTGAATTTATATTTTTGTAAGCACAAAGAAGTGTTTGGTATATGAGATAATAATAATAATAATTACGAAATAAAATTTAAGATTAGCTTTATTTCACATCTAATATGATGTATTATCTAATTTAAAAATATTTGTTATCGCATAATAAAGGGTAGGATGCAATAATTCTACGAATATTCTTGCTTATCTAAAAATTTATTGGGGATAACTAGGGAATCATTAGTTACTAATTTGAACTTGTTGGAAGTCTGTTGTTGTAAATGTATGCAATGTGTTTGCTAAAATGCCTAAATGAGTTTTAGAACAAGAAAACATTTTTTTTTGTTATTAGTTTCTTTGCTTCATAGTGAACAAGGTATTCGTAGATTGGGTTAGTTACCAATTTTCTTCTTCTTTGTATTTGGATTTACTGCATTTGAGCCGAAGGTCTTTCTGAAACAGTCTCTATCCCTCCACGAGGTACTGATAATGTTTATGTACACTCTACTTCTCCCCTCCCTAGGGGAAAGTTGTTAATTACAAAAATTTTGGGAAGTTGGACTGGCTATTTCTGGATGTAGTTTGTGAATTGTAATACTTGCTTTATTGGATACCGCATACTCTTGGAAAATGTTGCTTCTAAAGCGTGGATGCTATTGTTTATTTGTGTTTTGAATTGTCGTTTATCATTCACAGATCTTGTTGGCTTATTGCTTTTCAGTGCCAGGTCGAGTCAGCTACATTAGCGAAAATGTGTAGACAATACCAGCCAACTTTCACTACAAGAACTTGTATGACACTTGCAGTTAGGATATACAGGTATGATGAATCTTTATCAGCCAAAACGAAGATAATAGAGGGGATGAATGATTTTTGCTTTTTTAGGGACCCAATTATCCACTTGCCATGTCCATTTTGTTTAGAAATTTCGAATAAGAGAAGAAGGGCTGCTAATTTTTGAATTTGGCCTCTTGACTGCTATTTGGACATTTTAACAGTCCTGCTGCTCTTCTCCTTGGAAAAATATGTGTTGATATTCTTCCATTATTATTAATAATAATATGCATGACTTTAATAGTAACCTGTCCATTACTTATCAACTCAATGTACTTTGATCTGTAGGATAACGAGGATTAGTAGGAGCTAGCTTTAGGGATAGAATCGAAGAATTTAACACCTCTAAGTCATGGTTCATTAATGTGAAAACGTAAATCCTAACTTTCTAATCATCATTTAATCTTAATAAACTGAAGTAATTTGATGTGTGCATTGAAGAAAATTAGACAAGCCTATCAATAGGTGAGTATAAAATCCTCTATTTCTTGCTTTTTTGCAATACATTATGCTGAGTTTCTGTTATTGTGTTTTTGTATGAATGAAGAAATGTTTGGTACGTGAGATAAGAATAATAATCACGGGATGAAATTTGAAATTAACTTTATTCCATATTTGGTCTGATGGATTAGCTAATTCGAGATTATTTTATCTCAGCATTTGTACTAAAATGGTGGGATTACAATAATCTCATGGTATTATTCTTGCTTATCCCATCCCATGTACCGAACAACCATAACTAAGGAATCATTAGTTACTAATTTGAAGTTGTTGAAAGTCTATTGTTCTAAATGTATGTAAGGTGTTTGTTAAATGCCTAAATGAGTTTTCGAACACAAATAACATATTTCTGTTATTTATTTCTTTGTTATCGTGAACAAGGTGTCACTTCATTGTAGATGGTTTAATTACCAAATTTGGGAAATTCGACTGGCTTTATCGAATACTGCATACTCTTGGAAAATGTTGCTTCTATAGCGTGGATGTTATTGTTTATCTGTGTTTAAGAATTGTGGTTAATCATTCACTGATCTTGTTGGCTTATCGCTTTTCAGTGACAGGTCGAGTTAGCAACATTTGCAAGGATGTGTAGACAAATCAGCCAACTTTTGTCACAAGAACTTGTACTACACTTGCAGTTAGGATACACTTGTACGATTAATCAGTATCAGCCAAAACGAAGATAATTAAGGATCAGAAATTGGTTAATAGCTACGTCATATGAGATTCCAAGCTGGTTTGAAAGGACGGATCATGTATTGGGAAGTCATTGGACTTGTATGGAAAGAATGATATGTCATTTTTAACATTCTAGATGATTCTAAAAGCAGTTAGCGAAACTCATTCTCCCCTGACGCACTTAATGCAAAAGTGCAGAACTCTCAACCATCTAAAAGAGCTCCATTGCCAACTCCTCAAACTTTACCTCCCAGAAACTCCGTCAGCCATTGCTCCACTTCTTTCATTTGCCGTCAATTCTAGGATTCCTTCTTTCTTCAACTATTCGCGTATTGTGTTTCAAAATCTTGGCTACCAAAGTACCTTTTTGTACAATACCATGATCAGAGGATACATGCAATCAGAAATGCCGATACCAGCAATTATATGCTACAAAGACATGCTGAGAGATAAACTTATTGTGAATAATTATACCATTCCACCATTGATAAAGGCTTGTTCAATGGTTTCAAATGAGTTTAGCCTACTTGGGTTTTCAGTCCATGCCCATTCACTGAAGTTGGGATTACAATATGACCGGTTTATTGTTGCATCATTGATTGAATTTTATTCCCTACATCTCGAGATGGACAGAGCGCGTATTTTGTTTGATGAAATTCCCGACAGGGATGTGGTTTTGTTTACTACCATGATTGATGGATACGGGAAAATAGGGGATGTGGGAAAGGCCAGATTGTTGTTTGAAGATATGCCGGAGAGGAATGTGATTTCTTGGAGTGCAATGATGGCAGCATATTCACGGGCTAGTGATTTTAAGGAGGTTCTTTGCTTGTATCGGAGGATGGAAGAAGATGGTCTTAAGCCCAATGAGTCTATTCTTGTAAGTGTCCTCACCGCTTGTGCTCATCTAGGTGCCTTAGCACAAGGCTTTTGGGTACATTCATTGGCTAAGCATTATAGTTATGAGTCGAACCCAATATTGGCTACTGCATTGGTTGACATGTACTCTAAATGTGGGAGAATAGAGTTGGCTTCATCAGTCTTTGAAGAGATGAATTATAAGGATACTGGAGCATGGAATGCCATCATATCAGGCTTTGCAATGAATGGAGATGCAATGAAATCATTTCAATTGTTCTATAGGATGTTAGCAAGTGGGAATCAACCAAATGAAACCACATTTGTTGCTGTGCTCTCTGCTTGCACTCATGCAAATTTGGTTGAAAAAGGTCTTTCACTGTTTGAAAGAATGAGCAGTGTTTATGGGGTTGAACCCAGGTTTGAGCATCGTGCATGTGTGGTAGACCTGTTAGCCAGAGCTGGTAAGCTCGAGGATGCAGAGAAGTTCATTATTGAGAACATGGGAGGGATAGAGAAAGGGGATGCTAATGTATGGGGAGCTTTACTTGGTGCTTGTAGGGTCTACGGTGATCTTAAAGTAGGTGATAGAATATGGAGAAAATTGTCTAACATGAAGGTAGCTGACTATGGTACTTACGTACTTGCATACAACATGTACAAGGAAGCTGGTTGGGAAATGGAAGCCAACTGTGTTAGGAAATTGATCGAGCAGATGAGGATAAAGAAGCAGCCTGGATGTAGCATCGTGGAGGTGAATGGGGTGGTTAAAGAATTTCTCGCGAGTGATCTTTTACATCCCAAGTCACGAATAGTCCACGACGTGCTTGAATCCTTACCTAATGTAATGCATCTTATTGATTGAGCATGATGTCGTATGATCAGATTATGGACAAAAGTATTGCAGTTCTCTTTGTTTTTATGTATTCTGAAGCTAGAATTGCTCCATGTTATGCAAAATGGCCAGTGGATATTGGTAATGAGATCAAGAATGGTTCTTATGCAGAGCTATTTGGTTCCCAAGATTGCTCCAACTCCATGAATTAAGGGGTCGTTTGGTAGCTGATTTGGAGGTGAGGTATGCATGTATTAAATTTTGTAGAAGTAATACTACATTCGGTAGTTGGTTAGGAGGTGAATTAGTCATGTATAAAATTAATACGGCGTTTGGTTTGAAATTTAGAAAGCCACATGACTAATACATGTTTAAGTTGTAAGGGTATATCTATGTGTTATTTTATGCGGAATAAGAAGTAAAATAACTAAACTCCGCATGAAATATTATATAGATTCATTACTTATACTTGATTAATTGTAACCAACTCTCAAATGACACCTGTTCTGTCATTTACTTTCTTACAACTTATGCCCATTAATACCAACCTTGTACCATTGTCTCTGTGATGTGACTTGAGTGGTCCTAGTATCCAATAGAGAAAATTCAAAAATGGCTCATTATGTTTGGGATAGGCTTAGAATAATCCCTGAAATATACTTCCTCAACAGTTTTGGGAGTTTTTAAGTTTGTCATAAGTGAGCATTGGCTGTTAGATTTAATTAGAAATTGTTGAAAAGAAAGAATTAACAGGAACTCACATTATTTTTCAGTTTCTGCTCGTTTTTTTTTTATTTCTTAATGTCTTTGGGTGGCTTGAAGATCTGTCTACCTCCTAAAGTTGGGTTACATACCCTTCCCAGACCCCACTTGTGAGATTACACCGTTGTTGTTTGCTGAGCGACTGGAAGACAAAGTCAACACAGAACACCAAGTTTACATATTAGCCTCATGTTTCATTTGACTGAAACCTCTATCCAGATTCCAGTCCTAGATCCCATATGATCAGTTTGTTTATCTAGATATCCAGGACACTTGAAATGGCTGAGGCTGCCATAGTCAAAGCGATATCAAAAATCTCAGAACAAGCGTTTTTCCTATATGGAGTGAATGAATAAGTAAGAGAACTTGTTACAGAGCTGGGACGTATGCGGGCATTCTTGAAAGACGTTGATACAAGAAAACAGAAAGGAGAAAGAGTAAAAAATTGTGCTGATGAAATTCGAGACCTTGCACAAGATGCAGAGGGCGTAGTTGAGAAGTTTGCCGCTGAGGTAATGAAGAGATCAAACGGGGAAGACACTGTTTATTGTTTCTGTACAATGTTAGCTAATGTTGTGAAAGAGGTTATTCCAAGGTACAAAATAGGGTGGGATATAGGAAAGATCAACAAGAGAGTTAAAAGCCTCAGAGAAAGTTTAACAACTTATGGTATAGTTTTGACTGATACTATAAATGAAGGAGAAACATCTTTACAGAGTGGAGATACTGGTGTTGGTATAAATGAAGGAGAAACATCTATTATTAGAGAAGTGAAATTAGAGAGTGGAGCTATTGGTGTTGAGAGATGGGGAGGTTCTGGAGGAAGTCATTGGAATTATAGGCCTAAAGGTGTAGTTAAACAGATAGTAGTAAGGCATGGATTGATTATAGATGCTATAATGTTTAAGAGCATTGAAGAAAATGGTGTCATGAAGTCTTCTAAAACATTTGGTGGTTCTGGAGGCAAATTGACTGAGGTAACATTAATGTCTTTCTTTTAGTGTATATATGTTGTTCAGACATGTCGTTGGATCATGATACGTGTGCGGGCGATGTTTTTTGGAGAGGCCTAACAACATAGTTTTTAGATCTTATTTGTTTGCGCTTAATGAATAGCTGAATAGATCTTAATATCATTCAGTGGTATTTTTGTGGATAATTTTCACCTACCATTCTATCCACACAATCACCGGCCGCTGCACTAAACACCAACCACCTATGTCATCACAACCCCTACCATTCTCAACCACCAGTACCGTCAACAACTAGGGGTGTAGCGTTGTAATCAATGTCGAGGGGGTTAGGATGAAACCACTTTGGGAGAAAATTACATAACTTATACATCGTTTTAAATTATTTTCTTATATATATATAGTAGATGTTGAACCTCCTCTAGCTTCTTCATGTCTTTACTTTATATTTTGACCTCCTCAGTGAAAATCCTAATTTCACCATTATCACCTAGAACCAACCACCTCTGTCATCACAACCACCAGCATTATCAACTACTACTACCAGTCACTATCACATCTACCACCTCAATATCATTATAATTATATCCATTCTCGCCACCATTATCAACCACTACCACCACTATAGTGTTTGATCCTTACTGTCAACCACTTCCACCATCACATCTAGCATTGCCTTCAACTACACACCAACTAGTATATACAATTTTCTAAATCAATATGCCTTTAAGAATGAGTTTAGTTTCAAGTGAAATAATAATTTTTTTTCTTTGTTCCCAACCATCACTCAATATTCTCCTTGTTTAATAAGGCTAATTATTTTTTTTTTGTTGCATTTTTGTAGATCAATATAGACAGTCCTTCAGAGTATTTGACAGGCTTAAGTGGGACATATGGACTCTATGGTCCCTATCTTATAATAAAATCCATTAAGGTTCACACTAACCTTAGCCATCATGGCCCTATGGGTTCAGTAATTGAGACTGATACCAACTTCTCATTCATTATGCAAGGTGGGGTTATTGTTGGATTCCATGGATTTTCAGGCTTATTTCTTGATGCCATTGGTGTGTATGTTATGCCAACAAGCATAAATTTACCTTCTTAGTAGGCACACTATCTCATCAACATATATATATATATATATATATATATATATATATATATATATATATATATATTTGAGATAGCTTATGTTGATAAGCTTTTAAGTATTTTGATCAATATCATCTTGTTTGGATGGTAATTGTTATTCGTTGTATTGTATCGTTTAGTTTAAATGTCATGTTTATATTTTGTATGGCGTTGTTTAAATCCATCGTTCAGTAATGACGAAAAGTTTAATAACCATCAGTTTGGGGCGTGATCGCGCTCGTTGTGTTGTATTGTGTTGTTAGTTTAAAATGTCATGTTTATATTTTGTATGGACTTATCATTTCAATCTATCGTTTCTCATTTTATTTAACCATGATCTTGTAGTAATCTTCTCATTTTGTCAGAGTTCTATCTCATATCCTACTTTTCTTATAGGTTTATCATTTTTATATTGTTTTTATCATTGTTGATGTGCGACATTATGTCTACTTTTCTAGTTTTTATTTTATTTTATATATTTATCATCTAAATTGTTGATATGTGACATTATGTAACGACAAAAAATAATGTATTCAAATATTGTATATATTCATCAAAATAATTCAAGTACGATAAATTATATAAGTCATATCCATTGCGACACAACAATGACCTGCGTCTTAATTTTTTTCTTTTAGTAAAAGTATTTTATTTATTTTTTTAGTAAAAGTATTTTATTTTAGTTCGTTTAGTAAAAGTGTTAATATTTTCTCTTTTTTGTCAATTCTTAAATACAGACAATTCTTCTTCGTTTAATAGAAGTGTTAATGTCTTTTTTTTTTTTTCAATTCTTAAATACAAACAAAAGCAATAAACCACTAAATATATGGTTAAAATGCTATTAATTTGAATAAAAATAATCAATCAATACAAACGTCGTGACTACAAGTAAAAATTAAATTGCAACTAACAATCAGATTCAAAACAAAAAAAATAAAATATACCAAGATCATGCAACGATCGAATATCAACGATGAAACGGCCCAGTTGGATCGACTTGTCTGCACAACGTTAGGTACGTCAAAAAAAGAACACGATCCTTTGCACCCGTTCGATGATTATTTGTATGTTCACAAAAAAACTTAAGTTCATCAAGTGTACAACATCCCAACATCTGACCAAGTAACAAAAACAGCCAATTTATCTTATTCTTATCTGAACATATAATCGGTTTCGCGCTATTCTCTTGATTACAAAATTGACATGTAGGAAGAATCGGATTCGCCCAAATAGACGGTGCACGTTCTTTGAGAAATGTTTTATTTTTCATCACGTAAGATCCAATCTCAACAAACTTTTCTTTCAAATCGAATTCCATAGTATATCTCTTCTCACATCTCCTGCATTGAACATCTCCGCTTATTATGATTAATTGCTTCGACAACAAGTATTGCAACGTGTGTACTGTAGCTATTGAGTTTGTTGCCCAAGGAAATGGAGGAGTTACAGTCTCAATCTTCACCTCCTGCATTAGTTTTGGCTTTGAGGAGTTACGTCTTCTGCGTTGAATAGTTTCTTTTGGTATCATGATCGGTTTTAAAATCTGTTGGTGATTCAAGGTGCTCGATTGAGCTGTTTCAGTTTCTTTTGGTATTATGTTGAGTTGTTGGAGATTCAAAGTACTCGATTGAACAGTTTCTTTTGGCATCATAGTGAATTGTTGGAGATTCAAAACAGTTTCTTTTGGTATTATGTTAAGTTGTTGGAGATTCAAAGTACTCGATTGAACAGTTTCTTTTGGCATTGTGGTGAGTTGTTGGAGATTCAAAACAGTTTCTTTGGGTATCATGTTGAGTTGTTGGAGATCCAAACAACTCGATTGAACAGTTTCTTTTGGTATTACGGCTGGTTTTAAAATCGTGCATTGTCGGAGATTCAAAGTACTCGATTTGAGATTTTCACGAGGTTGTATTCGAGGTCTAGTAGAACGGGAGGGTGTTACTAATGAAAGTTCCAAAAATTCATCATCGTCATCTTCTTCTAGTAGATTTTCGTAAGGATTTTCGAAATGAGTATGAAAATTCTTCCTCTTTCTATTGATTTCATCAATATTGTTGTGGATGATCATTGCAAAAAGAAATTAAATTTATACAATAGAAAAAGATGTCACAAAAAAAATTAAAATGGAAGAGGTATACATATACTTAAAGAGTTGCGTTAAATATAAGTCCGAAAAAACAGAATTTTAGAAATTTCAGCTAAATTAAAATTCTTTTAAATTCAAAAGAGTTACACATCATTATAGTTACCTAGTTAAATTAAACAAGAATTTTAGAAATTTAAGTGAGTTAGAATTTTCAATAAATTTTACGTCTTATTTCATAATGTACTGTATTGTACTTATTGTACTGTAGATTTATTGTACTGCACTATATGATAGATACAATGTTTGACTAACTGTACTGTTTGTTGGTGAATAAAAACAAATAAAAATATTTTTATTTATGATTTGACTTTATCGTATTGTATTGTAATCTATGAATTTACTAAAATTATCTTTAATTATTCTAGGATAGGAGATGTGACTAGAATTAAATAACATAGCATAAATTATGAATTTACTGAAATATCCTTAAGTATTCTAGGAGAGGAGATGTGACTAGAATTAAATAATATAGGATAAAGGGTAAAAAAATATTATGAAATATTATGTGTTAAGTAACAATGGGAACACATGTTTCATCAAATGGGGTTTTTCATTCTTACGGAACAACGAAATTTGACAATATAATACAATACATTATTAAATAACAATCAAAACAAACATTAAAGGTACATTACAATACAACGGACAACAACGACCCAAACAGAGGGTAAAATGATTAAGATTAAAATCAAGACATCTTGCTCTATCAAAAGTTGAAAATATTTTGAATTGTTAATTTATAGTAATAAATATGTAAATTTTATTTCAAGAAAATTAAAAAATTCTATGTCGAAATTTACCCTGAATATTATTAGTTAGTTTTATGTACTTTTTATACGTGTAAACTTATGTGAAATAGTATTAGTTTAATCAAGTTAAACAAATTGAAACGGGAGTAATTATTTTTAAAATGGAATTAAAAATAACTGTGAGATACATGGACATATATTAAATGAAACTTATTAGAACAACTTGTTATTTCAATAGAATAGTTACGGTCAAATAAAAATACATTTTAATTAAAATTATCTGAATAACACGACTCATACATATATTAATTAAATGAAACTTTATTTCAATAGCATTTTAAATTATGTAATTTTCACTTCTTTTTTTAATTTTCTCGACAATGTGATTAGTAACGATCGAGAGTCAGAAAATTATATAATTTGTATATAATTAAAATTATTTTTTAATGTATATATATAATAGATATTGAACTATGTACCTCTTCGGGTTTTTTTTTGATATATTTTTAGGTGTAAACACAAAAATTAAGAGTATACATACACGTTGGGTTGTTAGAAGCACACAGAATAAACTAATAATATCCTTATTTCATTTGAATTAGGAGTATTTCAAATTAAAAAAGAATGATTAAACTATCTAATTAAATTATTAGAGAATAATAAGTTATTATATTTTTCTTTAGAAAACAGTTTCTTCTTTTTTTTAACAATATTTAGTTACTTAATTTTCTTTATTCGGTTCATTTTTTCTTATTTCGTTAATCTTTTTAACCAAAACTCTCTTAAATTCTTCTTTATATTAGCGTTATAATTATACAATGTCCCAACTTTTATTAGAAAGAAAACTATAGCAAATTATTATCTCGATTAAATTTGATTGTTGCAATACAATTGTCATTTTATTAAGAAAAAATTGACCGTTGAGTTATATAATATTTTTTATATAATTTTTAAATAGATAAATTTATCTAAAATATTAATTAATTCGATCTAGTTAAACAAATTAAAATGAAAGTAATTATTTAAAAATGTGTATCGAGAGATGCAACACTTATATTAAAGGGAATTTATTGGAAGCACTTGTACTCTTGTTTGTTTGAGAAAAGATAATATGAAATTTTGTTATTTCAAATAAATAACTATTTGTCTATATTAATGGGACCTTATTAGAAGCACATGTACTCTTATTTGTTTGAAAAATATAATGTGAAATCTTGTTATTATTTCAATAAATAGCTATTGTTAGAGTGCAGACAAAAAAATACATATAATAATTAAATAAAAATTTATTTAAATAACATTTTAAAATTAGATAATTTTCACTTCTTTCTCGACTGAGTAATGAAAAATTATATTGTTCATACATGCTTAAAAATATTTTTTTAATATATATATAATAGTGGTTGAACACTTGAAACATTTTTTACTTTTTTATTTGTGAAACTCACCTAAATCTCATTAGTTTAAGAGCTAATTACTTAGATGCACACTATTTTTCAATATTATGAATCTTATCAGAGTTGTGCTTTTAGATACATGTATTTCGATATACATGAGGTCAATATTAGGTATAATTCGTTCTAGGTACACTGCATTCAAGTGATTCGTATGTATCTGAGATACATAACAAATCTCACATCACCTCTCATCTCACTCGACACTCTCCTTTATGTCTACATATAAATCACAACAGATACATACAAAATATTCCTCCCAAGTAACTACTCTACCTAGAATATTTTTCTCGATTCCTAAATTTTACTACATTTTATTTTTTTATTCGATTAATTTTTCTCGATCTTGATCTAAAACTTTTAAATTAGATTTAAAACTCATAGAATGAACCAATTTGAATTAGAACCATTTTAGTTGCAAATCTTTATTTTGTTTGAGATTGAATTTGATTGTTGCAATATAGTTGAAGTAAGTTGTCATTTTTCAAATATTGACTGACCATATAACTTTTCATAATAAGCGGAAATATTTAATGCAAACTTTTTTCATAATAAATAGAAACGTAGAAATGTTCCATATAAAAAAAAATATAAAAAGTGATATAATAAATTGGTTATTCTGATATTGTAGGCTAGATGATATTTTGATATTATACATCAGATGAGCTTAAGATGAACTTGAATTTTTTTTCGTGAACATTCGAAAAATAAAAATAAAAATTATATTTTTTTGTGTGAATAATATTAATATGTAGGTAGCACCCAATTTTGAAACGTCCCTAATGGGTCTAGTTGGGTTCACGAATCCTGATTATAAAATTTAATTTATATACATTGATAATATTAAAAAATATTTGCACCATCAAATTTATCTAATTACTTTAGGTGACTTAATTATATAAACAAATAACAACTAAAATTAACACTTTTGCCCTCTTTTTCGAAGGATAAATTTGTATTTTGGTATTGTATCGCAAAAGGGAAAATATATAAGTACTCTTAATCTATGTTCAAAAATCTCAGAAAGACACTTATATTATACTATATTATAATGACACCAAACAAATTTGAAATAACAAAATTTTTTTTGTGATGATTTTCGATTATATTGATAACTGAATTAGATACAAACTAAGCAAAATAACAGAAAATGGAGAAGTCAAATTATAGCTCCATGGCTCGATAGATCTACAGAAGAGATTGAGAATGAAGAAATTGGATAAAAGGAGAACGATTTTGGAGAAGAAGATAACATGCAAATTCATGCCCTCTCTATTTTGTTAAGTCGTTTAATCAAATTGACTGAGTTGACAAATTTGACTAATCCCAACAATTGAAGCTCACTAACTATCAATCAATCTCAACCCTTCACGTGATAATTATTACGACTATATTCTAAATAGGTCTCAGCTCATGACATGTTCTATTATTCCTCAAACTTATTTTATAAATAATTTTTTTAATTTTTTCGACTTACCTGAACACTATTTTTTGAGCTCAATACTTGTTCATAATTTTTTCAATCTATCTATTTAATAATGTTACATATACAAAAAATGAATAGAAAATTATTATAAAATAACTTTTCAGTTATAAAACTTTAGTATAGTATAATTGTATCTCGTTATTGCAAATCCTTATTTTGTTAAAAGGGCGAGTACCACTACGGTCCACCGGTGCTACTCAGAGCTCAGCGCTAAGAGAGATATGAGCGGCACTTCAGGTCTTCTTCAGCTATGGCAAGTTCCATCCTCATCACTGTTCTTCGGCCGTTCCAAAGGTACTGTTTTGTGTTTTTCAATGCAGTGAATTTAACCTAAAACACAATTTTTTTTCTCCAGATTGTTCTTACTCCGTGCACTTTGTAGAAAATTTCATTTCTCTATATTGTCTACCTATTGGTCCTACACGAGATTTTCAAATAGCTTGAATTTTGGTAAGAATTTGATGAACGTTCCGGGGCGCAGGTCTGTACTTGGTTCCTGTGCGTGTTATGTATCCAATGTCATGTTTCTGTAAGCAAATGCAAACTACTACTTATGCAATTGTTAAAGGAAGCTATGTATCAAATCCACAGAACCAACAAGAAAACAAAGTATAGCTACTCCATTACTTTCAATTTTAGATTTCTAATACCATTTTGAATTAATTTTTATAGTTGGATACTTACTGTGAATTAGCTGAATGATGTTCTTTAATTGTTTTTGTAGGAAAAATTGACACCTAAGGTAGAAAATGTAGGTGCTTTTCAAAAATTACCCATGGTAATGCCGTCTGTAGATATTCTACATTCAGCACTGAGGAAAGCAAAGAGGGTCTCGCCTACAAAGGGTAATCTCGTGTTCTGCATTTATGTACTTTTTACTTCCACCTCATCGTTGTAGTATCAGTTCTTGTACTTGACTTAAGCATGCACAGATGAAAGGAATGATTGCATTTAGTTAAAATGTTTAACAGGCATTGCTAATGCTGCAAAACGTGAGAGAAATAAAGGCGCAAAACAAATTGACGCATTAATGAAGGTGACAGACTAATGCTTCTCATTGGTGGATACATCTATAATTTTGATATTCTCATACGAAACAAAATTTACATTTATCATTCATTTTGTATATGCAGGAGTTGGCTGTGCCCTTGAGGACATACAAAGAGAACTTCCCAAACAAAAAATATTTGCACCCTTATGAAAGATCTTTGATTGAGTTAACGCTCGGAGACGGAAACTATGAAGATGTAACTTACAATCACCCTAGT